ACCAAGTTCATGCAGCTGGACTGGCTCAAGCTCACCATTAGTAGGAGGCAACCCTGGCCAGAGCACCTTTACCCATTATGAACCTCAAATTCCCACTATCCACAAATACTTAGGGTGTCGAAGCCCAATTTATCACATGTACTAGGACTTTCAAACAATATAATACTAGACACCGGGGCCTCCACAATGCTAGTATACCATATGGATTTTCAAATAATGTCCTAACACGACACTAGGGTAAACTCTTACCCTCTTATAATGATCATGCCAAACATGCTTAAAACATCCAACACATATCCATAACATATCATATATCACAATTTCTCATTTCTACTTAAATCATAGAATTTCACAAGTAATTATACATAAAATAGTATTGAGCTTTCTAAATACTAAATTTTAAAGAAACTTTTCATTCCACTTCACATAATTTCAAAATCATAATTTTATATTATCACTATGTTAGTATTAAAACAACACATTAACTTGAAAATCTAACACACTACCATCCAAACACACAAAAAAGGATTAGACAATTCAATTACCTCAACCCTTTCATCACTAAAAGGATTATCATGGGCAACCAAAAGCTCCACATGCATTCACTAGCACCACAATACTCAATCAAGGTTAATCTGCAAGATTAAACCCTTAATTGTTAATCCCTATACTAATCATCCTAAATAATACAACTAGGGGTACTCATTATGCTCAAAACTTCAATTTAGGCCCAACAATCCTTCTAACACACTATATTAACTCTATTCAAACATCCCAACAAATAAATAACACTATTACATTACCTATATTACTCTTAGTCACCCAATTTCTACCTAAGGTTTGTCTAAACCTTAACTAACAACTCTGAATCTTTATGTAATCCATAAATATAGGTTTAGAGGCTTGACTTAACTCCCCAATGCCTTAACTAAAGTAATGGGTTCAACCATTACACAAGAAAACATGAAATCAAAGCCTCAAAATACCATAATCATTAAGAAGTTCAAATATATGGTGAAAGAGAAGTGGAGAAAGCTTATCCAAAGCTCAATCAATCTACTCTAAGGCTTCTAAAGTAATCCAAGTCAAACCCTATCTCCCACCAATCATCTATCATCGTCTCCTCATGATTTCTCTTTTCTCACTTCTGATTTTTAGGTTCTGATTTGCAAACTGATAAATGCAAATTTGTGTACATGTGCCACGGCATATTGGCATACCCACTATGGCACATGGCACATAGAGCTAATTCACAATTTAAACCTTCCTTCGTGCCACAGCACGTTCGAACTTCAACCTAGCCCTCTTCTACAGCTGTATAAAGATCCATAAACTCTATTGGTCTCCCAAAAACATCATTAATTAAAAAATCACTTAATTTGACTAAAATACTCTTATAAACATTGAAAATTTCCAAAGTTGAAATCTAGGATGTTATATGAATAGTCTTACATCACTCTCATTCCAAAAGGGGAGACTCCAAAATCCTTTAAGGATTGCTGTCGATTAGCCTTTATAATGTATCATATAAAATTATTTCAAGGTCCTTACGAACAGGCTCAAGCAAGTGCTTTCTAGCCTAATCTCCCCATTCTAGAGTGCTTATCTACCTAATAGACTCATCACTAATAATATTTTAGTTGTAATTGATCTTGTTCACCAATTCATATTACTTGAGGTAAAAAGAAAAAATTTGGTGCTCTAAAGCTTGAGTTATCTAAAGCCTTTGATAAGCTATCTTGGGTTTTCCTAAAGATAGTCTTGGAGTGTATGAACTTTCCCACTAAGTGGATCAATATATTGATGCAATGTGTCACCATTGTAGAATACAGATAGTTTTCAATTGTAGATTAACACAATCAATTGTCCCCAAAATGGTATTAGATAGGGAGATGTCTTATCTTCATATTTACTTATTCTGGCTTCTAATGTTCCCTCATGTGTGCTCATTCATCATGAACAGTCAAGTTCTTTCAAGGGAATCAAGGTTGCCAAAACTCTTATTTGGTCTCACATCTTTTTTATGTAGATGATTCTGCAATTTTTCTTTTTTTTTTTGTGAATGCACAAGAAGGGGACTTGAGACAATTCAAATAATCATCAATACCTTTAGGTTGTGTTTGGATAGGTGGATTTAAGTTGGGAATTTGGATTTAAAATCTTACATTTGAAATCTTACGTTTGAAATTCATAGATTTTAAATTTTTGGTTGGGTGATATAAAAAATTTTAAATTACAATATTAAAATCCTTGTTTGGATCTAAAGTAAAATTTTAAATTTTAAATTCTATATTTGAATTTTAAAAAAAAACTTGAAATATTAGTCAAACTCGATTATTTGAATGGCCAACTTCCAATAGAATCAGAGAAACAAAGTTGATTGGGACTATGAGCGATGACAGGGATCGAACGGTCGACTTTCACAATGACAGGATTGACTGCGATGACGGGTACCTGACGACTGACTTCCATCGGGACCAGACCGACGGTGACTAGACAGCTGACTTCCATCAATACTAGACTAACGGTGATGATGGGGACTGAACAATCGACTTCTAGTGGGACGAAACCAATGGTGATGATGAGGACATGATGGCCAACTTTCATCAAGATCAAACCAGACCAATGAGGATCAGATGGTCGACTTTCACCAGCCAAACTGGACCGACAACGATGACGACCAAACTAAAGTGATGGCTATAAAAGGTGACCGTCCAGTCCTCTCCCTGTGGAAGTTGGACTTTCATTCCTTGTCATTGTCATAGGTTAGGTCTTAGTAGAAGTCAACAGTCTGGTTCCTGTCGTTGCCATCAGTCTAGCCTCAGTAGATGTCGGTCGTCCATTCCTTGTTGATCCGGTCCCCGTCGTCATTGTCGGCCCTGTCTTGGTGGAAGTATGCTGTCCGATCCCCATCATCCCCGTCAATCTAATCCCCATCATCACCATGAGTTATGTCCCAATGGAAGCTTGTCATATGGTCCCCATCATCATCAGTCCAATACCAGTCGAAGTTAGCCGTCCGGTCCCCGTAGTTGTCGTCGGTCTAGTCCCAATGAAAGTCAGTCGTCCATCCCGATCAACAGTGGCAGTTTGTTTTCATTAACTTTGGTGGTTTGATCCAATTGCTGTTGGCAGGCCGATCAAGCCTTCATGCATTTGGGTCAAATTACAAAAGAGTTTGAGCTAGGATTTGAAAATAATAGGAATTTAAAAAAGATTTTAAGTTACAAAGAGATTAAGGGAGAATTTGAATTTGAATTTAGGTCGAATCTAAATCCATACATTTTTAATTATCTAAGTAATGGATTTGGCTCAAATTCAAGTTCAAATTCAAATCCATGTGTATCCAAACATAGCATTAGTGTTTGGTCTAATTTACAAGTAAATTCCCAAAAGTCTATCATGTTATTAAGTCCTAACGTTGAATCTATATTGAAAGAAGAAATCTCAAATTACTTGGGAATTCAATTAGCAGACTCTTTTGGAAAATACTTGGTTACCTGGATTGATTTGGGACATGACAAATTTCAAATATTTGATTAAAGTTCTGGAAGCCATTGATAAGAGAATTGTCTCATGGAAGACAAAACTTCTCTTTCAATTATCCAGGCTCACTTTGATCAAGTCTTTTCTTTCAGCCTCAAACATTTACACTCTCTCATGTGTTAGATTGCCTAAGGAATTATGCACAACAATTGATGCTAAATTGGTGATTTTTTTTTTTGTGTATTGAAAATTCTTAACGCAACATGCCTCTGCCCAGGAAAGAAATCCTCTTTTCTCCTCTCAAAGATGGTGGTTTAGGGCACAAAATACTACGAAAATGAATTTGGCTCTTGCTAAACAAGTTGGAGGAGAATGAATGCATAGGAACATTCGCTTTTGAGAAATACTTCGAAACAAAAGTATATTTAATAGTTGTGGCACCTGCAATTTTAAATTTCCCTACCATGCTTCATGGTTTTGGAAAGGAATTTGAAAATATGGTAACCTAATCATAGATCATCTATCTTGGCAAGTTAAAAATGGTGAGTCCTTATCCATTTTTGACAAAATTGGAAGGCTCCTTCCAATCTGAATTTGGTGCAAGATCTAAACAAATCTAAGGTAGTAACCTAATCAATGAAAACCCCAATCCTTAGACTGCCGCCGCATGGAATGCTTCTCTTGTGAAGAGTATCTATGATGACGTTTATGCTGGAGCTGTTCTGAAGATGCCTATTTCCTATAGCAGCCGTATTGATAAGTTAATATGGGGAAAAGGCATCCATACTGTAATTGAGGGTTTCAACATTCTCCATAATGATACCACAGTACTCCTACTAATTCTGGCTTTTGGACTGCACTTTGGAGTCTTCATCTTCCATACAAAAACACTTTTATTCATATGGAAGCTAGTGCATGAAGCTCTACCAACTAGGATTGTTTTGAGGGCGCATCATCTCAATAACACTATTTCCTGTGTTTTCGGATGTGACTATGCAGACTATACAACACCTTTTTATGCCTGTCCTCTTATAAGAGCTGCCAAGTTTGGCTCTTTTTCTATCAGATCCACAATCACCAGAATTTAAGATTTTCTTCATTGGCTTCAACTAACCTCCAAGAATCTGTGTCGCGATAACCAACTTCACATATTAGAAGGTATATCTACTTTACTTCATCTCATTAAGCAGAAAAGGAATGAGGCCTTACATGAAGGTCACTAGCTCTCTTCCACATAGATTGTGCGTTAGTTCCAAAACAATTTCAAATTTCTCAAGTAAGTTTGTAAATGGACACCCCCTGGCAATGCTTCTAGATAATCTACCAATCCTTTGATTCGACAACATGCAAAGCAACATTCTGAATCTAATTACTTAGATATGAGATTTCAAAAATGTGAAGTAAGGCTGCAAAAATTTCATAAATAGAAGAATTCTCTCTGTTCTGTCAATATCTACCTTAATCATTACGATCGCTTCCCCTTTTTTGTAAGTTCTCCAACTTCACCAGCAGAATAATTCGTGAATCCTTGCATACAATGCTATTGGATTAAGAATATCATGGTGGAACATTTGGGAGATTCTTCTTACTTAAGATCTCTCATCCTCACTTGCAATGGAGGATACAAACTAAACTCGCCACAAAAATTCCATCACAGAAGACTTCTCTATTGAAAATGTTCAAAATAACACACATCATTGGATGCAACACAGTTGAACTCTAGCTTTCTGCTATTTGTTGAAACTTTAGTCTGAAGTTTTCTCTTTTTCCTGCAAATATCCTCGTTATCCAAAACAAAAAAATATATATTATCTCCACACTTTTTTTTTTTAAAAAAGAAATAGAAAGGCCAGTCACTAATACGTAAAGTACTACACGTGTCTCTGAAAAAAAATCGATTAATCAGTTATCCTCCTCAATCATCCCATAACAAATGCCAGGAACACAAACAAGATTCGGACTCCATCAAATAGCTTTTGTCCAGTTTATCAGCACGCATCAATGACACCCTGTAGCAGTGATGCAGCTCTATACTTCAGATGAAACACAAAAATCAAAATATTTCACTCTAAATAAACTCCAACATTGTGAAATTTAGTTATGTTGTCAAAATTGTATTGGTTTAAAGAAAATTAATTTGAAAACAAGTAAACATGAGCCTCAAATGCTTCTTTTGACATCATCGTGCCCAAAGAAAGCGCCCGCTATATACAAAGTTCTGTACCTTCTTTGAGAACAGCAAAAATAAAATCCTGCTAGCAATATAGCACACATTTGTCAGTGTGCAAATGAGTGTAAATGTGGCATGAACCTGCCGATTGAAAACCCATGTTACACAGAAAAGTAGATAAAGTTGAGAAAATAAGAACTGGAAGCTACAACTCTGACTAATCCGATAGATTAATACCAGAGTGAAAAGTCAAGATCTCCGGAAGTCTCGCTCGAATAAGGAGTTACTAAGGTAAAATCAGATCAAGCGAATTAAACTCAGTCAGCTTCAAGTTCTGCGCCAAACTGCTCCAGTCGCATGGCATCTTCATCGTAATCCCGGACAGCGGTATGATCAACTGAACCATCATCCTCACTGGCATGTATCTGTCTTCCGCCAAACCTGACAAGAAGAAACGAGGAAAAGAATGACACAACGAATAAGAAACAAGTTAAAAAAGATAAGAGAGAGGTGAGAATTGAACGAGATCAGGAAGACATGGGCAATTGCAAAAATGATGAAATTATAGAACTGATAGTCAGAATCTGTTTTCTATCTTATTTTTGGGGAAAAAAAAATGATTTTGCATGTTCATGATGATACAATAAACGATAAAAGTTTTAAAAAATGTGGAATACAAGAAGATATCATAAAATTTTAAAATAAATAAATAAGAAATCATTTTTATACAACAGAAATCAAGATCAAGTATCAAAAAATTTAAAAAATAACTAACTAATAATTACTTTTTTTTTATCATAACCAAACAGAAAAAAATGTTTGCTTTTTATAAAATCTTAACAAAAATAAATCTCTTTATAAAATTTCTAAACTATCTAAAAATCACTTTTAGACAATTCTACCCCATCATTGGTATACATATAAAATTTTACTTTTCCTAATGTTGACTTCCATAATAGATGAAGGGCAGAAGAGAGGGAAGAGAGAGAGGAAGAGAAAGAGAAAACTATATAATTTTATGCTTATGTCCAAACTAAATACAAATGAAAAACCCTAGAGATAGTTATAGAGCCCTGGAAATAATAAAAATAAGAAGAATAAATCAAAATCAAAATCAAAATCAAATCATAATATTAAAAATAAGGATAAGGTATCTAACTAGTCTAGATATCTTATGTTATTTGAGCTAATACTTAAAATAAAAAAATCCAAAATACTAAAGAAATAATATTAAACCCTAAATGCTAAATCAAATCTTAATAAACCCTAAATTAAATCAAATATAATTTCCATCAAAATGTCTAACAGTGGATGATCAACCAAGGGAGCCATCATGTCCAAGTAGACCATGCTGCTCAAAGATGTTACGAAAACTTTCTCCAAAAAAAAAAAAAAAATGGCATGATCAAATTACCATCTCCCATTCATCAATTCTATGCACTTCTGAGCATCCTTCCTATCCTTGAATTTCACTAAAACAACACCCTGAGGATGATTCTCACAAATCTGCAGGCAAAATCATCATTAACTCGAGCAAGGAAAAGGAAACGCAAAGAAAGAATGGTACTTTTTATTCGTTAATAAATTAAAAGAATTCATGTACGACCAAACGGTAGGTAAACAGAGGGATTGTATGCAATCTTGATCAGCATCTTAGAGATTATAGGCTTAATATCTTTTATATTTTTTCCTTTTGTGGAGAGATTGTATGCCATCTCCCTTTCTCCTTCTCTGTTCCTGTGTACTTAGCCTCTTATTTGAATAAGGAAAGATAGATTGCCCGCTCAGTTTTTTCATCCTTTATTTAACATATTCTTTATCCAATAAACTACTGACTGAATTTAATTAGTAATTTCTAGATCAGAACATTTCATCATGCCTTCTACTAGCTGTCAGAACCCTGTCATTTGAAAATTACTATTTACTAATACAAGATATAGATGTCTTTAGATGTATTAATGGTTGAATAGTACATTTGAGAAGGGATAGAATCCAAGAGAGAAAAAATAAAAAGAGTATTAAATGATTACTTAAATATCCCCTTCTTTGGATGCTGAAGTCACAAGGAAAACAAAATTAAATAAAAGTACATGATTATAATATATATTTACAACTATTTAGTTAAAAGAATAATTATGCAGACTAAATATCTTGGCAATGAAACTTTTAAAAAATTAAGTGGCAGATGATAAAATAATAATAATAATAATAATTTACCATCCATTTTCCTCCAAAGGGGGAATTAAAAAATATATAGCACAGGATTTTGGGGTATTTTGGATAAGGTTTCTAGAAAATCCTTTGACATTCCCGTCCTCAAAAAATTACCCAACAAGCAAGCTCCTTCTCCTCCTGCTCTCCATTTTTCCTCGTCCAATCATTTTCTCAGTTTCAATTGCAACAATGTCATCCCATTACTTTTCAAACTAGAGAAATTTTGTCTCGGTTAATCTTTAATTCGGTTCAACTGCTAACGGTACAAGGAAAGATTTAACAAGAATCTCAATTTATTTTGTCAATAAATTTTCTACTAATAAATAGATATACTTAAGCTTATATTAAGTTCTAGTTCTCAAGTTAAATCCCACCTGTTCTAATTTGATGGGAACAAAAGTACCTTTATAATATGAGTTGAAGTAACTAAGTTTGCTCCTAAAATAAATTACCTTCACTGAGTCCACAGGGCCAAGCTTCACACATTCCCCTTTAACATCTTCTTCTAGCTCTGAACGTAAATTTTCATCAGCCTGCATATTAGGAATTATCAGATGTTAGCATGAGAAGTAACTGTACCAAGATGGAAGCTTCAAAATTGTCTACAGGGAAGGGAAAACGAAAATCCTATTTGTTATGGTTCTCCGGCTGTCCAGCATAATTGTAATAGAAACATTACTGTGTGAACCATCAATAGTGAGAAGCAGAAAAATATCAATAGTGCTTTACATGGACACATCAGAGTCACCCAATGAATGACTAATCCCACAAAATCCTCCAATTCCTCTCTAAACAAAATAGGGTGCAACTTAGATGGAATCTGAACATTTACATTTAAACTAAAACATTCATCAACACTCAATAATAGCAAGAGATTTTTGGAATGTCAAATTTCAGCAGTTCACTTCATCAGGAAGATGAGTATCAAGGAGCCCTATTCCATACTTGCAAGGGTATGGTCACTGATATAGCAAGTTTCCAGCATGGCAATGGTGAAACACTGATTTTACCAATAATGTCATAGAACTCATGATTTTACCAAGACCTTTAAGAGGAAGTTAGTGAGGAAGAGTGGCTTAATGGGGAACACTATGTGGTTCAGCTGTTTATTCTTGGAACCTAGCCATCAGGAACAGTATGTCATAGTATAGTGATGTGTTGATGCCTGTTTTGGGAGTAGGGGCTGTATGACGGCCATATTTTGAGTACTAGTAGTCTTATGCAGGGTAAGGAAGGGAGAGAGATGCCTTTTCGTGCATTGATGTATGGTGAGAAGAGTCTGGCCTCTCAAATGCCAGTGAGTGTGTGCTGTTACAAGCGTGTCCTGTGTTCTGTACTTCAGTTATTGTGATTGTTTGTACTGATCAAGTGGGAAATGAGTATTGGCCAGAATTAGTAAGTGTCTTGTAACAATTATTCAGTTTATTTGAGCATTAATAAACCACAGGATTTTCCCCTTTCATTTATTTCTACAACCATATTCTTGTACTTTTTCATTCAATATTCAGCAAGGTTCCATCATAATGCTTTTTTTTTTCTTTTTAATTGCATGGTATAAAGAATTATAGCAGCATATGAAAGTAACTCCAACCCTTAATTCCGTGGGTGTGAACATATAACGAAGGATGATGGTGGCTGGAATTGAAACTTTTGCATCATCACGACCACCTGAGCAATAGTACAAGAATCATGTCACTATCAGAATTGCATTATAAATAAGAAAATCAATAATAAATTTACATGTTCAAACCTCAAATCAGACAAAATATAAATAAATCATAAAACTGACAAATGTTAAATAGATTTCTTTAGATGAGTTACTGAAATAACAGGTTAAAGGTGAGGAATTAAATGTGATTCATATAAAGAAACTTAAGCTTGAACTGAGAAAATTTTCAAAATAATTATTCAATCTTTCCTTCCAAAAGAAACAAAGAGCTACATATAAGGAAGGAACCTAAATGTATTAGCAGCCTACTTCAACATGAAACCCATATAGGCATCCTAGCTAAGCGAAGACTTCCTTCCTAATAGCAAAAAAGCTCCCAAGTAAAAAGCTTCCTAACTAAACAGGAGTTTTATCAATAAATACTAATAATAATAATAATAGCAGCAGCAGCAGCAGCAACATATAAATATATGAATATATATGAATAATTCAAGTTGGGTAAGTTACATGAACTAGATGAGTGAATTAAAATTTATTTTAACCAAGAACTCGACCCTACTTCGGTCAGGTATAAGTACTGGAGTCCCCTGAGACTCTTGTGTGATGGAGGGAGTAAGGGGAGGCAGGTGAACAAATCATGTCAACTGAAAATTATAAGATAGAATGCTCAAGGTTTGGGAATGGTCAATAATGGGAAGATAGAGTGAGTCAACCATGTTATATCCAAGGTCCAATCAAGTGTAACTATGCTTTAGGAGACTAAGATAATATTGTAGGCAGGTTGTAAGAAGTATTAGGGAGATGAGTTTCAAATTTTGGATATGCTTATTGTAAGCCAAGGCGTCCAGTGATCGTACCTTGTTTACTAAACAAGCCGCATATGGCAAGATTAACATTTTAATAGTCTGAGTGGATGATAAAGTCCTTACAAGGGATAACTTAGACAAGATTCTGATGAGCCCAATGTACAAGGAGGCCGTGTTTATCAGAGAAAGAAGCCCACTAACCTTCCAAAGAAGCCATACAAGGATAAGGTTTCTGATTCAGATCAAGACAAAAGCACAAAGCCCAATGAGTACAAGACAGAAGATGTTATCTAGGGTAGTGTCCCTAAATGAAGATCATTCAGACAGTGGCTTGTTTTGAGGGAGAGTGCCTGACCTCTCAAATGTCAAGGAGTGTTTCTTCTATCGTTTATTTCCGTTTCTTCTGGTTTGCTGTGGCTGCTACCTTCACTGATGTACTTAGTTATTTATCCATTTTCCTCTTCCTTTTCTCCACAGAAGAGGCTGTAACTGACTTGTTAATGAAGTATAATAGACATATTTTCTGGGTTCCATCAATTTTGGTATCAAAGCAGGTTGATCCTGTGGATGGTGACCACCCAAACGGAGGCCAGATTAGAGAGCTTGGAGAAATCAGTGAATGATTTACAGGGGTTAAATAGGACAGGAAAGTGGCTGAGTTACAGAAAACTAATAAGGTAGCTTGTGAGGAGAGAACCACAATGCAGAGGACTCATTCAATTACAGGAGCAAAACAAAGACATTCTCACTAACCTCAAACAACTCTCAGGAGAACAAAATCTCGAGAACATAGAAGAGCACACTGGGGACCCAAATACTGATGAATTACCACCAAAAAAAGAGGGAGAGGGTGAAGATCGACACAAAGAGACAGTTAAGGAGGTAGGAGATAAAGAAGGGCAGAAGGACTAACATCTAGAAATGCCTCTATTCGATGGTCATGATCCTATAGGATGGACCTTTCACCTGGAAAGGTATTTTTCGATCAATGGAATCTCTAAAGCTGAGAAAATGGATGCTACAGTTGTAGGATTGGAAGGGAAGGCATTGAATTGGTACTAGTGGACTAAAGCGAGCACCATGGCAAGTTGAAGAGACTTCAAAGCTAGAGTGATTAAGCAATTCCATTGTTCTCAGACTAACAATCACCGGCGCATCACAACATTGAAACAGGAGGGGACTATATTCGAATATAGTGAAAAGTTTGAGACGTTATCAGCACCCTAGAGGATGCATCCGAGGAGACTCTAATGGGCATGTTTCTTAATGGGATGTTATCAGCACCCTAGAGGATGTATTTGAGGAGACTCTAATGGGCATGTTTCTTAATGGGCTCCAAGAAGAGGAGAAGGCTAATGCAAGACTATTAAAACCCAACAGCTTGAAAGACTTAATAGACTCAATGTTTGAAGTAAAGGGCCAAAATTTAACCTTGGCAAAAGCCAAGGAGAAGAGGGAGAACAGAACCAGTCGACATGATCACATCACACGTTGGACCACCATGAGCCAATCTTTTCCCAAACTAGCATCTTTTTCTGAAGGACCCAAAAGCTCAAACAGAACGAGGAGCTCATGACAAAGAAAAGTTGAAGAGACCCCCCAAAACCTGAGAACATCAGAATCTTATCAAAAATGCCACACCATCAAGGAGGAAGGCATTGCCATCAAGCCAAACCTTGCATGCACTACCACACACCACCTTGCACCTTCTAATACCAAACAGAGCTTCGGCATGTGTGGCTCACATAAGTTGCCAATGGAGATAGTGTTCTAGGGTTGGGCCAATCGAAGGCTGCCAAAGGTCCCTCTATAGGTGGTGAGAACCAGATCACACTCCTCGCTTACATTCGTGTTCATCTAGTTTGTATCTTTTGTTTTCTTAAAACCAAAGAAACAAGTTCGAGTTTCAAATTTATTCTAGGTCAGAAAAAGATATCAAAAGACATCAATCCTAGAATGTTCCCAATATAAGACATTATTGCTAAATTGTCATATTTTGAAAATTATCATTTAAGATTGGGAGAATGAAAGAGAGGTCCCAAAAAGATCAAGTAATTCAAGTTAGTCCCAAGTGCCAAATTTTAGGAATTAGCATCTCAATCTTTCAATTTTGCCACTCCGTTGTAATGAATTTGTCACTTGTATTCCAAATTTTAACAAGAAAAATAAATTTTTTTTTATTTTTCAACCATGTTAAAATTTAAAAAACAAGTTCAAATTCATCACAACACAAATGCAAAATTGAGATATTGAATTGCAAATTTTTAAAATTTAATACTTGAGACCTTACTTAAATTAATAAAAAGACTTCTTTGTCATTCTCCCTTTATGGTTTTACACACATGCTTTGATATCTCGTGTGAATAATTATAGGTGCAAACAAAAAATTAAAATAAGATTAAATGGCCAAAAAATTGGATTGCAAAGACAAACTAGAAAGCAAAAAGATCATAGAATGACACATGCAAGGATTGATTCAAGGAACTTTCAATGACTCTAAGCATTGAAAATTTCAACAAAGCCTTCATCACCCTTTGATCATCTTTTTAGAAGTATTTAGCAAGTTCTAATCAAGTGTGGAGCATCCTATAAGAACTACATGTGCATCCAAATTAACTTAGTTTGAATGGTAGTCACATTCATTTTTAAACCTCCTAACCAAGTTTGTTAAGTGGTTTTAGATATTATGGTTTTAATCACCTAAAACCCTTCCTATTCTCATCATTTTACTCCACCACAACTTGATGAGGTTTAGAAATGCATATTCACTCATTCTTCACAAATTCATATTACATTCACACCTACCCTCTCTTTTCTAAAATTTTCAACTTTGTTTATCTGAATTTTCTCTCGTTTTCCTCCACTTTCCCACACTTTCCTACCCACAATTCTTCATCTCAAACAAATATTGAAGATATGGGAGCCATGTTGGAGATAGATCAACTCAGATTGAGGATCAAATCACCATGAAATGCTAGATTCTTGAAGCTTTCCAAGGAAGAGGAAACCACATCTTGGGTTCCTCTAAACCTTTCATCTTGCTCTCAATTGCTTTGAATCCTTTTCTTTTCCTTCTTTAATTCTCTAATCCGTGCTATTGATGAATGATTCTAGGTTTTAGATTATTCCTCTTGATCGAAATTCATGTTCCAAAGAGGAGAGGATGTGCATTTAATTCTTGAACTAGTTGCACACTCTAAGTGTTTGTGTTTATACTTCAAAATTTTGATGAATGAATATATGTTTCCATTTCAATCTCTTTTTCTTTGGCTATGGGATTAACTTTAGTTTAGATCTTAAATTCTAGTTAATATCATAATCTAGATCGATTTAAAGTATTAAACATGAACAAAGCAAGGCAAAAGCTAGGACTAGCTTCAAGGGTTAAATCACATATTGGTGCATCTATCTTGGATGATTTGTATGTAAATGCTAAGTGGTCACTATCATCTGGTCTTAATAGTAATTGAGACAGCCTCACACAGCAATTGAAGAAGGCAATTGAATCCAAATCAAGGAAAGGAAGTACAAGGATAAAAATGGTGGAATCTAATCATGGGACACTACTTTGACAGTTGGTTGAATTTTACACACTTTCCCTTTGCTCATTTCATATTAAAACCAAATATAAATAACTAATTTCTCTCCCAAACTCCCAACCTCAATTCTGGAATTTTAATCTGTCTATCATTGGCTTGAGTTGGTTGCAAATGATTGCTCCTTGAGAATAGAATGACCTAAGGTGCTCACACTACTACACCTTAGTTTCTTTAAAAAGCTCGATATGACTTAGGGCTTTTCAATCTTTCACACAATACCAGATAGGTAGCATACAAAATCATCAAGCATTCCGAAGTGGGCCAGGTACATTGAGGCAAGAAGGTCAACCACTAGGTAATGCACCTTTCTGTGCGGAAATCTAGTGACTTGGAGAAGCAAAAAGAAACCTGTGGTTTCATGCAACAGTACTGATGCTAAGCTTCAAGCAATAGTCACTTGGCATGTGTGAGGCAATCTAGCATCTTACACTTTTGAAAGAGTTGAGGATTGAAGTTGAAAACATACGTGAGGGAATCTAGCACCTTATACTTCTGAAAGAGTCGAGGATTGAATTTGAAAGCCCAATTCAGGTTTTCTGTGATAATATCAACTATTGGAATAGTGAAGAGTCATATCCATCATGATTGGACAAAACATGCGGAGATAGACCACTACTTCATCAAAGAGAAAGTTGATGCTTGTAGGATTGAGGTGTCCTGTACACAAGCACAACAACCACCCATAAGATTTTTCTGTTGTTTATTATTTATTTTGTATTGTTTGAATAAGTCATATATATCTAGATATCACTCAAGGTCTGTAAGTATCTAGATATAGAAGGCAGAATCTTTTTTTCACTCGTTATTTTTGGGACTCCTCTAATGTACAAATATAGCGGATGACAACACCCCCCCCCAGGGTTGACATGCCAACAATCTCCGCCTGATTTCATGCAAAATAACCAGAGAAGGAGCAATGGGCTTCAATAATGAAGAAACTGAATAGTGTTAGCAGAATATTAGGAATAGTATTCTGCAAACATTTCCATTTTCATCATGTATTTATTTCTGTAAATATCGCTGATTGTATGATCCCTAATATATTGGGATCTCTATCCGCATTATTTTCTCATTTATTTCTCAGCTGAATCGTGGGGATTGAATGGCAGGAATGTCTCCCAACCTCCCCCATGTTTCATTCTCCTCCGTAAATAATAACGTATGAGACATCCTCTGTTTTGTTCAGATAGCAATTCAGACAAGTTACTAAATTAACAATTTGCAAAAACTGAAGCTATGTTTATAGCCGGTCCCAAGCCCGGGTAAAGGAGGAGGGTTGTGTTAGGCCATCAACAGCCAATGTAAAAATTTGTTGAATCTATCATGAACATGGACAATAGACGTTATAATGTTAATGCTAGGTCGTTGCCCGTAAGTAACGCGCTGCATGGCTCGAGTACAGTGATAAGTGAGTTAGAGCCGCTGCATCGGCGCCCGGATGTAGTGTTAAATGAGCAAGGGCTACCGCGTCATTCTGGACGCACGCGGCTAAAGAAGTTAGTCCATAAGAGCAAAATTAGATTTGGTACTTGGAATGTTGGGACATTAAATTGTAAATCTGTAGAGGTTGTAGGGGTTATGATTCAAAGGAAAATCAATATCCTTTGCTTGCAAGAAACAAAATGGCGTGGAGAAGAAGCTAAGGATATTCAAGGTTTCAAACTTTGGTATACAGGAAAAGTAAGTGCACGCAATGGAGTAGGCATCATTATAGATAAGGAGTGGAAGAAGAACGTTGTAGAAGTTAGCAGAATTGGAGACAGAATTATTTCTTTAAAAATGATAATTGGACGTGAGACTGTTAATATTGTTAGCGCTTATGCGCCGCAAGTCGGGACAGAAGCCAGTCTTAAGGAATTATTTTGGGAGGATCTGGAGGGGTTGATTCGACACATACCACAGAGTGAAAAGATTTTTATTGGAGGAGACTTTAATGGGCATGTCGGGAGGGAAGCTGGTCAGTATGCGAGGGTGCATGGTGGTTTTGGTTTTGGAGAGCTAAACAATGAAGGGCAAACTCTTCTTGATTTCTCATTGGCGTATGATTTTAAGATTGCCAATACTTGTTTCAAGAAGAGAGATGAGCATCTCATCACCTACAAAAGTGGAGCCTCAAGGTCGCAGATTGATTTTCTTTTGGTTAGGAACACAGATAGAAAACTTTGTAAAAATTGTAAGGTGATCCCTGGAGATGCTGTAACGACACAACATAGGGTCCTAGTCCTTGATGTGTGTATTATGAGTAAAATCCAAAAACGTCGACAAGTAGTAACACCAAGGATTAGGTGGTGGCAATTAAAAGGTGAGAAGCAAGATATTTTCAAGCGAAATCTTTTGGATAAAGGAATTTGGGATTCTCAGGGAAGTGCTAACATCATATGGGAGGATATGGCTAAAAAGATACGGGAGGTTGCAAAAGTAGTTTTGGGAGAATCGAAAGGTCTTGGTCCGAGAGATAAGGAGTCTTGGTGGTGGAATAATAGTGTACAGGACAAAATCAAGTATAAGAAGAACTGTTTTAAAGCCATACATTTGTGTAACAATGAGGAAAATTGGGAGAGGTACCGTATGGCTAAGAAGGAAACTAAGAGAGCTGTGGGTGAAGCTCGTTCTAAAGCTTTTGAAGAATTTTATAAGAACCTTGAGACGAAGGAAGGAGAGCAAAATATTTATAAGATTGCCAAGAGTAGGGAAAGAAAATCAAGAGATCTAGAACAGGTAAGGTGTATTAAGGATGAAGAGGGAAGAATTTTAGTTACAGATGATGAAATTAAAAATAGATGGGAGACTTATTTTTCTAAACTTTTCAATGATGGAGAGGATTCATCTAGTAACTTGGAGGATTTAGTAATTGGTGAAGGAGAACAAAATTTGTCATTCTATCGAAACATACGTGATAAGGAGGTAAAGGAAGCTCTTAAGAAAATGGCAAATGGTAGAGCTAACGGACCTGATTGTATATCTATCGAAGCGTGGAAATGTTTAGGTGAAGAAGGGGTGAGATGGTTAACTAAGTTATTTAATGTGATTTTACGGTCCAAGAAAATGCCTGATGAGTGGAGGAGAAGTACATTAATTCCTATTTATAAAAATAAAGGAGATATTCAGAATTGTACTAACTATAGAGGGATTAAACTCATGAGCCACACAATGAAATTGTGGGAGAAAGTAATTGAGCATAGGTTGAGATTGGAGACAAGTATTTCTGAGAATCAATTTGGTTTTATGCCAGGTAGATCAACTACAGAGGCGATTTATCTACTAAGGGGATTAATGGAAAAGTATCGTTGTAAAGATAAAGATCTACACATGGTTTTTATTGATTTGGAAAAAGCTTATGACCGTATACCAAGAGAAGTGCTTTGGAAAGCGTTGGAAAAAAAGGGAGTACGGATTGCTTATATTAAAGCCATACAAGATATGTATGAGGGGGTAAAAACTAGTATAAGAACGCCTAGTGGTCAAACAAAGGATTTTCCTATAAAGATTGGGCTACATCAGGGATCATCTCTGAGTCCTTATTTGTTCAACTTGATTTTAAATGTTTTGACGGAACATATTCAAGAGGAAATCCCGAAATGTATGCTCTTCGCGGATGATATAGTTCTTATAGCAGAGACAAGAGAAGAGGTTAATTGCAAACTTGAGTTATGGAGGAGGACATTGGAGTCGAAAGGTTTTCGTCTGAGTAGAAGTAAGACGGAATATTTATATTGTAAATTTGATAAAGGACTATTCGAAAATAATTTGGAAGTAAAATTGGGAGATCAAATTATACCTCAAGTGGAAAAGTTTAGATATTTGGGAGCCATTATCCAAAATGATGGCGAAATCAGTGGAGATATTTCACATAGAATTCAAGCTGGGTGGTTTAATTGGAGAAAAGCTAAAGGAGTTATTTGTGACCGTAAGGTGCCTAATAAACTTAAAGGAAAGTTTTATCGTACTGCTATCAGACCGGCAATGTTATATAGTAGTGAATGCTGGGCTCTAACGGGACAGCAAGAGCATAAAGTTGGAGTAGCAGAGATGAGAATGTTACGATGGATGTGCGGACATACACGTAAAGATAAAATTCGAAATGAGCACATACGTGAAAAAGTGAGGGTGGCACCTATTGAGGAAAAAATGGTAGAAAATCGGTTGAGATGGTTTGGGCATGTACAAAGAAGACCAAGGGAGGCACCAGTGAGAAGAGTGGAACATATAACTTTGAGTCCGATTAAGAGAGGTAGAGGAAGGCCTAAGAGAACACTCTTGGAAGTTGTTGAACGTGATCTCTTAATTAATAATATTTCTAAAAGCTTAATAAATGATAGAGCACAATGGCGTCTTGCAATCCATGTAGCCGACCCCACCTAGTGGGATAAAGGCTTGTTGTTGTTGTTGTTGTTGTTGCAAAAACTGAAGCTATACATACCCCAGCCAAGCATCTTCTCTTCCACTCTTTTCAATTTCCTCTTCTTTTTATTATCTACTTGCTTCGCTATGAATGTTTCTCCTGCAAGTTTGAAGAAAGAGCCATCAAGCAAAATGAAGCCCAATAAATAACTAGACTATTTATTAGATGTAATATGTATGCCTGGTCAGTGAGTGCGCAAATATGAGACTATCACATCAAATATTCAACAATAAATGATGACTACCTTTTTGCTCAAATTTAGCATGGGTGACAGACATGGGAATCTTGCTACCAGGGCGAAGAGGAGTTCCATCCAATATTTGAATTGCCAAAGCAACTGAGGGTTCCTAGTAAACACCAACATAATGTAAAACCATGCACAACTGTACGTTATAAGCATATCAAAACAAGAGGAACGTTACCTTCAGATATGTGACCAATGCATCTCCCTTTTTTCTTCCAGTCTCTTTATCAACATAAAGCTTGATTCGAGGCCTTTTGGTTTCAGGGTCCTATCATAATACTCACATTCACATGAAGCCAACATAAATATAATACCCACTTTCATTCTACCTCTCTAAGGACTCCTAGTAAGTGGTGACAACTAGTGCGAGTTGCAAAGCCAAATGTGCTTACTTTTTGGTTGTAAGCATAGGCTAGCATGTGCCTAGAATACGACACAATGAAAATGATGCTAGCAACCAAAACATGGCAAGCACGATAGTCAACATTCCTTTCTCTTCCATCAAACAAATTAAACAGTATTTTGTGAAGCACTGCAGACACACTTTCCATTAATTGGATGTTAATGCGTAGTGTAAATAGAGTTTGTCGTATAAATATCCCCGAGAGTGCAACATATGTCTAAACAAATATAAGCCATGCTCATCAATACTTCAAAGCAACATAGCACAGGATTAAGATAGTACCTCCTTTATAATGCCACACTTGGAAAACACCTCCACCACCTGCAATATATTTCTCAAGCCACTTTCTTGCAACAAGAAATAATCAAGGCAGTTCAGAACAATGATTAAGACTTACTTCTTCAGTGGTAACATCCTCCGGCAACCCAGTGACATAAACATGTGTATTGACTTTTAACTCAAACCAACTATCAGGCGGTTTATTAGCTTCCTGCAACAGAACACAGGTCATAAGAGACATCATTCGGTTTCCAAAATCATAAAACATTTCTAACTCAAAGCAACACAAAAAAAAGGGTGCTTTTTTAAATACACAAGATGAAAAAGGGTGGAATACCTTCTTTTCGTCTTGCTTATCTGAAAGCTTCCTCTTTCCATCGTTCTTTCCTTCAGCTCCCATATCGGTAACACTTTCTTCTTCCTTTGTTGAAGCCATAGAACTACTTAGTTTTGAACCTTCATCCTTTAAAGAAGCATCAGAACCAGTTAACGAGGGGAAAACTTCCTCTTCCTCCAAGAAAGTCATCTCTTCAACTCCATAAGGATCATTGCTGCCAGATGGGTACTCCTATTAAATGTTAAAGTAGTGAAAGACAAATTCATGAATCAACCACCCTGCCATGGCTCAAATGCAAGGGCATTATTGATATGAAAAACGGCTGTTGCAATACATACATGTGAAAAGTGCATACAAAAATTAATTGCAAAACATGTAGGTCTCAGCTTAGAAGGGTGACATTTTGGGTAGTACAACATAGAAAATACCACATGATTGAAATAAAACAAGTTTGAAGAACAAAACAACTACTACTAACCAAGTTAAAATAAGAATATAAACTACAATCTAATTTTTTGTGCCACATTACTTGGCCTCAGCTTGTGATAGCCACCTCTCTTCAGCTTAATTCAAATTTTAAAATAACACGCTCAGATAATTAATACAAGATTGCAAAGGGAAGCCGTTGCCCAGAGATTTAGAGGAAAGGGCCCCCTTTTTCAATAAAGCGCAACAAGTTCCAAGGATTTGCTAGCTAAATTTAACATAACCTAAATTTGAAGGCCAAGATTCAGCAAAGGGTATTACTCATGCAAAAATAGAGAACATCCATGTCATCAAAAATATATCACCACGACAAGTGCTACGAAAGATATGATACACCAACCTGGGGAATCCAAACCCTAAGATTCTTATTCCACTTATATTTAGTCCCATCGTCATCAGTAAATTCTTCTTCACCCTCAGGTGGGGTGGAAGGTCTATCAGAATCACCTCCAATTTCAGCCCCAACATCGCCAGAAACAGATCCAAATTCAGACCCTTCAAATTGTGCTTCTGCTTCCTTTATCTCATTCTGCCATCTCTCAAACTCTTGATTATCATGGGTTGACATTAAAAGTACGTCACTTAGTAAAATCCATGATTGATTGAACAAAGTAAGGTAATAAAAAGAAAATAGAGAGATAGAGAATAAGAATAAGAATTACCTGCAGCTGAATAATCAGATCCCTGTGAGTAAATTCTTGTCCACAACTCAGGAACTGAGGACAATGGCTGCCATTCAGTTCTTCCTTCTGACCATACAAGTGTGTTTTCCGAAAGGTATCCATTTAAGAAATGCTCTGTCCAGGCGAAGTAAAAAAGCTAAATAGAGATATCAACATGCAACAACTGTCCTGAAAGTCTGAAATCGAGCTATTCACTTATGGAAGAACTGAAATTCAAGAAATGAGAACATAGGTATCGATAATTTTGTGGAGTGACAACAAAAGCAAGAAATAAGAAACCACAAAAACAGTTGCTAGACTAAAGGGCCTTCTTCAACTTCCTTCTCCTGGACTTCAAAACACTAATAACACAATCCACTAATGTTACTATAACCACCAATTTGCAGGGATTAGACACGTGTAGATTAGTAATAGTCCATAAAAGTGATGCCAAAACTCACCGCACAGCTCTGAGATAGCATATGGGCCCACCTGCTGCTGATTTTCTCCAAGAACATACCATCCCACCTCAGCAATGGTTTCAGAGTTCACACCAAAATGGTGCTCTCCACCTGTGAAACCAACTTGCAAAAATCATGAAATTATCAAATGAATTAAGTAAGACTCTTTCTAGACAAATTATAATCATTCAAATACTCATCAAAAGCCAAGGAATAAGGGCATGTTTTGTTTTTCAAAGGGACTTCTAGTTACAAAAGTTAGTTTGCCAAAAGTAAAACGTAGTGGAAGGAAGAAATTTTTTCTTTTGCAAATGTGCTTTGCTTCAAAGAAATCTTAACCAAACATGTCAAAATGGAAAAACGATTTTTGGCATTTCAAAACTGGTAGCCAAACAGGCACTAACTCATTAAGAGTTATTATGCACAGAAAATTGACTAGTCCAGGCTGGTTGGCTCATCCCTCACTACTTATGCTTCATTTTTTTTGTTGACCAACTTAGTGGGATAAGGCAACTTGTTGTTGTTGTTGTTGCTGTTGTACTCTTTTGCACTAGTTGGTCAACAAGAAGAAGAAGCCTTATCTCACTAGCCAAAGTCATATTTACCCCATCAGAGTACATCATTGTAAAATAAATCAAATGAAGATACAACAAATCATATTTACCAGTAGGTTGCAGCTGTAGCGGCTGTTGTTGCTGCTGATGGTGGGGGCTCTCATACCCATTTTGAGAAGACATAATAATAACCTTAAATTGTCAATTTCTGAGCTTCTGCAGTCAAAAGTGAGTATCCAGTTTACTATATTTTTTATCTTTTACATTAAAATTTCCCTGGATTTTTAAAAAATCACAGTTTCTTCTGTACCCAGTAATTCTGTCCCATCAAATCCCGTAGCAGTCAATTGAAGTTAAAAATTTAATCATATAAAATTATGAAAAAAATCCTCAACAATTTTCACTGGATATACAAAAAACATTGCATCAATATTACAGAATCTACAATTTCGCTCAACTGGAATTTCGCTGGATAAAGCTATCAAACACATGCTTTTAAATAGTCTTTCAAAATATAAAGGCAGTCCAACAAATAGAAATTGAACATTCCTCTACCATTTTTCTTCATGCAGTTCACAAGTCTACAAGTTTGGGAAGGCGAGGAACAATTTCAGGCAATTTACCATGAAGCTGGCGGAATATTAAAGGGACCAAATCCCAATCCTTTGGGTGCACTTGGCTTCTGCAAATATAATTACTTTTAATAGCAATAGTAAAATTTATTTCCATGCAAAAGCAAAAATAAATACTTGTACAACAGTCAGCAGTAACATCATAAATATAATGTATGCATATCAGCAATCATTACTCAAACTTATATAGGAAATGATAAGGGTGTTCATAGTACTATTTGAATAAATTTAAAATGTAATTCTATGAACTATCTTGAAATTTTATTTGTGCAACTCAAAAAGGGCATCAAGTATTCCCAGAAATTGTTCTACAAATAAAAGACAGCAAAATAATTGAAGAAAACACAGGCCAAGAAGTTTATAAATAAAACAAATAGTAATAGTGATAATCTAATCCAAAGAAATCCACAAATCCACAAACAACCAGCAACCTCAACACCAAAACCAGCAGTCCATGGTTGAAACTTGAAAGAAACCACACCTCCAAGTCAAACCAAAGTTAAAGGAGGTTTAGAGGAAAAACTTCAACTTGCCAGCTTGCTTTTATCCTTACCGAGCCTTCATGAAGGCCTATTGACTATTACCTTAAATTTTATTATTTCTTTAAATCCAGTAGGGAAGGGTTGTTGTGGTCGGGAGAGGGCAGCATTCTATCAAAGGAAGATAAAAATCCTTCAACATGCGGAGCTATCCATTTTTTTTCTCCCTCATGTAAGTATGCCAAGTTTCAAACTTTCCGGGTTTGCTTTCAAGTATGTTATTATGTATTCATATAATCCTCACATTCCCTAACATTTAAAGGTAAAATTCTTTTTCCTAGGTGAAAATCTAACTAAATACTTTTAAACTAGAGGGTAGCTCTACCGCAATTATCTACAAGTTTCAACTATGCATTATGTGATTAGGAACGGAGCATCTTAGCTGACTTCATGGAAAAATATGTTTGAAACAGTCTGAACCATTTATAATATCAGTAAGCCATGAACATGACATTTAAATTGTGTGCCCGTAATCTCAAAGATTAGTTATTGCAATTTTCCGCAGACTTCCATAAGTCACGTGGCATCGGCATTTTAGAGAAGAAGTTCAATTTTTCCAGCTTGGTATGAACTTATAGGAAACAAACACTGAAGAAGTTGAACTCAATGGATAGAAAGAATAAACTTCACAGCAATAGTATTAGGATAGGTGATATTCTACCATTGTGACTAAGTGTAACAGTGCAACTAAGTTCAACGTTATCTACATGTAACAGTAAATCAACATAGTAATTCCAAAACAAACAAATAACAAGTCCTCTAATCACTCTTCTTTAACCAATACAAAATATCACTTGCACAGTTCACTAAGTAGTAAGTACGCAACCATCGCCACGAAATCCACCCAATCCAGACAATTAACGCAATATTTTCAACCAATCGCCCCACTCAATCAAAATAAATAAATAACTATGCGAGGGAAAATAGGGCCACGGAAGCTCAAACACGAGAAGGGATCCCATACCTATTATCGAAGCTGCAGAGACGGGATAAGCTGAGAAGAGAAGAAGACGCCAAAGAATGGAAGATGAGCCTCCGAACAAGGCTCCAACAAACGCCGACCGAAGTGGAAGACGAAGGTCGATGTGCCGGGGAAACTGCGAGGATGGGGAGCAGAATCGAGAAAGAGTGAGAGCCGGATGAGTCTTCGAAGTTCGAACAAAACTAGATTTATTATGAATGTTCCAGCGTTAGAGGGTGAAAATAAAAATGGAACATGAAAATTTAAAAAAGAATTAATAATAGGAAAAATTACCCAATAAAACATCGCCGCAAATTTATTTGTCAAGAATGAGTTTGGTCAAATTCCAAAATTAGATCATTCGCTCACATTAACGCTGCCCAAAAAATAGGATGATACTAAACTTTACCCTAACCTGAGGTTCATAAAAAAATGAGATTAAGCAGCTTGTAGTTCAATATTATTTAGTAATAATTTGAAGATTAATAAGATTAAACTTGGTTTATAGGATTAAAAAATTGATCTTATTAGTCTAATAGTCACTTAGCTTTTTTTTCCTTTTTTCTCTATGAGATGTAATAATTCATTTCAACCTAATAAACTCAATTAAAAAAAAAAATACTTATAATAATAATAATAATAATAATAAATCTATAATCATTTCCAACAATAAGAAAAAAATATTTCTGTTATAATGCAAATGATAAAAATTTATAACTTTAACAAAAATAGCACTCAACAACATCAATAACACTATATTACAACAACAATTTAGAAACAAACTCAACAAATCTTCATACAATCATCTCTTTAGCATCAATTACACTTAAAGTATTTGTCAAAAATAAATTAGTTATAATTATAATAAATGAATTAATAGGACTAGACTGGACCAAGTGGTCCAAATGTCTAGTCTATTATCCAGTCTAACCCGAAAAAATAGTCTGATCTCTTCAGTTTTTGTGGTTTTGAAGGACCAATATCTATATGAACCGAACAAAACCAAGACCATCTCGGGTTGGACTGGGTCAGACAAAATTGAAGGACATTTGCACAATCCTAGCTCACATGAATTGCTAAGAGTCAAATGACATAAATGCCCTTGCTATAAAAACAAAAAAGGAAAAGTGAAGCAAGATCATTTGATATCAATATTTCACACAAACTCTTTTACAATCAATATAAGGTCCTTCATTGCTAATATGTCAAAAAAGTCCTTAGATGGCAATTTATTGAGGCTTACCTTCAGTTTGGATGAGAAAAAAAAGTTGACAAGAAAGAAAATGGGAAGAAAGAAAATGGAAAGAAAAGAAAAATGGAAAAAAAATGTTATCACTCCTTATGTTGGATGAGTTGAGAAAAATAAGGAAGAAAGAAAATGAGCAAACATCACAACAACTATAATATCTTCATATCAAAATATATCATGTTTCATGTAATATTTTGCATAAAAATAAATTGGAGACAAAATTATATTAAAATTAACATTATTAAAAATAATTTTTTATTTTAATTATTTTAATTAACACCATAAGCCTACGCCTCTTTTTGCCCAGAAGTATGTTTAAAAGGCTATTTATTTTCTCCTTTCAATACTTTATTTTAGCATTTGCTGTTTGTCTGACCATTTAATAAATATATATGTATAGAAATTAGATGTCGATGATAGCAACTAACGAAAGGGGTGTATGAGTATAACGCTTTACCAAACAAAATTGGGTACAAATGTTAGTGAATCCAGGATATTTAATGTAACATCTTAAAATTTTAAAACTCAAATTTATTTAAAAAATTAATAAAATAAAATATATATAATTAAATTAAAATTAAGAATAATTTGATAGAGATCCAGAGTTTGAATTTTACTAATCAAAAGTTAGGTTTTATTTTATTTTTAACTATGAGAAAAATTATCAAAGTTGACCCGAGCTTTTGTGCTATAATAAAAAAATATTAGGCCCTTTCTTGTAATTTGTCCCAAAATGTTTTTAACATCAATTTTAAAGGGAAAACAGACACAGAAACGCAGAAATGAAACAAGGAAAACAACAAAGAACACACGAGAGAGAGAGAGAGAGAGAGAGAGGAAGAAGAGAGGAGAAAGAGAGGGAGTTAGGCTTGAATTTAGGAGGCTTTACGACTGTTGCGAGCTCGACTACACAATAGGTAAACTTTCTATTTCAATCCTCCGCCTTCCCTCTTGATTTTCTTAAATTTTTGGAAGAGAAAATTTTTGAATTTTAATCTCAAAAGCTTTATTCTTGTAAGCTTTTATTTCTTTGGATCTTAGGGAGGATGTTTTGAGTTTCTATATAGTGATCTAATATTTTTGAGTGGATAATTGAATGAAAAGAGGTGTTTTTGGCATAAATTAAACCCTGAGAGATTGGGTTTTTCTCCTCAATAATTTAAGCCTATTGATTTAATTATAATTTTGCTATTTGAGCCCAATAAGATTTAAATTAAAGTTTGGTTTTCATTATAAGGGCTAATGGTGAAAGTTGGTGACACTAAGTGAAGGTTTTTAATTGATTAAAATTATATAAATTGGAAATTAGCCTAGTAATGGCTAATAATGGGTTTGATGGTTAAATAATATTATGTGAATGGTTGGTTTAATATATAGACCATTAGGATGGATTATGACTCATTGACTCAGTTGTGTGTGGTATGAGTTATAGTCTTCCATTAATGCTATTTGTCATGATAAGTGATGTGGATCACTTATATATTGTAGGGATTATTGGTAGAATTTTTTTGAAAGTTAAGAACAAGCCGAGTCCCTATTTTGTAAAAGAGGAATCCTTTTGGTAACAAGGTTAAAGTACAAAGGGGAATTTATTATTTTTTATTACTCTATTTTAGCTATTTTTGATAAATATTACTAGCTATCCCATTACATATTTTAAAAGATTAAATGTGCTTTATAAGGGGGTTATGGGGTACTGCTTTGATTATAGTGCAAGTATGTTTTTTTTAATTGTTTAACAACAATGTTTTTATGAAAATGAGATTTGTTTACATGTATTGTAATCATAACGAATAAATAAAAGTTGCACTTAAGAAAGTGTAACTAAGTAAGGTACCTTAGATAGGTTAAGGAACTGTTAAGGGAGATTTATAATGTTTTATACCTTAGAGTGTTGGGTGTGGTCAATACTCGAGGAAGGTAGACACGAATAAAGGTATGATCTCGGTAGGAGTTCACCAATGAGAAGGTATGGAACTTTTGATATTCTATGGCACACTATCAGTACTCAGTGTTGCCTTATGTATTGTGGGCTCAGTGTACTAAGTGGTTAGTGTATTAAGTGTTCGACACCTCTCAGTGGGAGAGGAAATCCGACATATGAAGTGTGAGGTTGAATGCTTAGGCCAAGGTAGCCCTCACATGGAGAGTAAGTTGAGCTGGCTCTGGAAAGAGTTAGCTTTAACTGCTTAGGATTCACGTCGAAGGGGCATAGGTAATTGGTGGATTAGATCATGCCTTAGATATGTTTTGTGCCTGTAGAGGTACAGTGTGTGGTATAAGATTTACCTGTAAGTTAAAGAGTGCCAAGGCACATTCTGTTGGTCACGAAAGGCTATACCGGCCTATGTCATGCATTCATGCATTTTAAATGGCTAATTTATATACTATGTTGAATTTATTATTCGTTTATTCAATTATGGCTTACTTTGTAATAATCAATGTATATTTTCTGTTACTGAGACTATAATTGTCTCACCCCTTTCTTTTCAATATTTCTAGGTCCAGACAAAAGAAACTAGTGGAGGACGGGGAAAGTAGTAGAGCTAGGGTGTTTGTGTAAATTGTAAAGAACTGCAACCCTTTCTTTTAAGAAATCTATTGTAATGTATTTAGGATTAGGGTGCTAGTAGGATGGGATTATGTATATGTGTGGATTGTATGGCTTGTGTCTAATTTTTGTTTAATTGTAGACTCGTGGTTAGGAAACTTGGCTATGGATGTGGTTTTGATGGATTTATTTAGTAGACTAAGTTTTCACTATAAGAAAATATTTATTTTTGTATATAATGTAATTCCACAAGCAAATGTAAAGTTGTTGTATTGTAAATGGTGTGTGCTATGGGCAAAACATTACCCCTGGATAGAGAGAGCCACAAAGATCTTTGAGCCAACTGAAAATGTTAAGCGTGTGTATTCATATGTGTATATGATATTGGAATAGTTTTTGACCACTCTTGTGTGATTTGTACAATTTTGGGGGTTATGGTCCATTTTGAAAAATGGCACTCGAGCGAGTCAATTTTGGTATGACGGGTTTTTCTATCATTTAAATGTTCTAATCAGGTGTTTTTAGTTTTATTTGACGTGTCTAAAGTGTTCTCACAGGTTTGTGACCATTAGGATGAGATTTGGACCCTTTGAAAATAGTTTTTACCAAAAAACTGTTACTTTTGCATCTAGGTACCCAAATCTTAATCTGACCATTAGATTTCTCTAAAAATTGGTCACAAGTAAAACCTTTTATAAGCTTCGTATGGGCTTTGGAATTACTCGATCAGATATCGGACGGAGAAACGGCACACTCCAGAATTTGGTCTGGAGGAGTTGTCATGACAACAACAGTGATGATGCTGTTGCTGCAACATGCACGAAATTCAATCCGTCTGTTGGATCTTTCTAAAATTTGGTATGCTAATATTACTATTAAAAGTAACATGTGGGATTTAGAATCGCTCTGATCCGAGATAGGATGATGAAATGGTACACCTCAAACGTTAGTCTAGAGGTGCTGTCATGACAGCTTTTTAGCTGTCATGACAACAAAAATCACCAAACTTTTAACATGTCTAATTTTTAATCTGACTGTTGTATCTTTTTTAAAATTTTGTACACTTATAGTACCCTTTGAATGTGACGTGTGAGTTTTAAAATTTCTTCAATCAGGGATCGGATGACAGAATGGCGCCTTCTGGAAGTTGACCTGGGAGGGCTGTCATGACAGCAATTTAATGATGTCATGACATCATCTTTTTACCTCGCTTTCGCCTAGCTTGCTTCCGTGCATTATAGGTAAACCTATAAAAAAATTTTATTTAAAAAAAAGTTTTAAATGTTTACTTTGCAATCATATATCTGCTTAGTGATTTAAATGGTTTGTTTCTTAAGTTGGTTTTAGGATTTAACTCCTTAACCCACACTTAGTTTATTTAAATTGTGTGATTTTTGAATAACATTCG